GTACATAACTTTTTTGTAGAGAAATACAACCTTGACAAATTATATGTCGTTGGAAATATCTCGTTGAGATCTATCCAATGACACCAATATTGAATACAAAATTTCGATATTATCTTCTCACATTTCAAAGTAAAGAAAGTAAGATTTATGAATGTACTGTAATTGTAAATATATGTACTATAATTTGCGTTTTAAGGTTTTTTTGAAAATTTATTCTAATAGTTTGTAGATTAATGAATAATGGCTTTTGAGTAATTTGTATTTGATGAGAATAAACTTTATTTTAAACAAGTATAATACAAATTTGAGAAATATTTTGCCTATGCAGGATTCGAACCCACATCTGTAGTACATACCACTCTACCATTTGAGCTAATAGGCAACGGTTTAATATTTTCAAAGAGATTCTTGTCTTGCACTTTAGTCTATTAAATATGCATTTTAAGCTTTTAGAATTGAAACATGTTTTGTACCCATGTTCAAATGTGTTACAAAACTTTTTAAATGCATCTCTTATATAATATATTGATGCATCATATTTAGTTGTGGATAATTTCATAAGATAGATTAATTTCACTACGAGATTTTGAGAATGCATTATCCTTTATTATTCGAATGCATTTCTTTCTCACGTAAATGCATTATGTAGATAGTGATAATGCACAATAACAGAAACTCATGCAGATTTTGTATTCACAGTACACTTAGAGTGTGTTAGAGTTTGCATCACATTTCATCAAAAACCTTAATATGGGATCACAATATAGATTTAAGTTCTGCTAGATGCAATGCAAAAGTTGAGCAATATCAAACTTAATATACAAAATACATTTACTTTGAATTTAATTAAAACACAATTTTGGACAGAATAAAGTATAATGCTATAAGATTATGTTAATATGCACTAAGACATATTATATATGCATTCATGCTAACGAAGAGAGTCAATGAATACGGAGATGGTATTGGGTGCGTTAACAACAACCAAAAGTGCATTAAAAAGAAATAAAAATGAAAAGTGCAAAAATTATACTCAGTATTATATATATGGAGAAAAATGCATATATGGACATGTAAAATTTATCTTCAGAATATGCACTGTTATGGCCGTTATATGCACTTTGAGTTATACATGACTCCATCAAAGTTCTATGAATCTCAAAAAGGACAACTTATAATGTCTTAGAATATTTAAATCAACTAATTGTATATTGTACCACAAAATTTATGCACTTCCATATCTGTCAACTCGCATGAAAGGTGCAAAACTTATATTATACATGAAGAGAAAAATGCATACATGGAAAACACTAAACACCTGTATTACCAACGTTTCTCAAAATGCTTGTGCGGGAGAATTATGCTCCACGTAAATGCATCATAAAAAGGTTGGCAATGCAGTATGCATGATACACAATGCTATGTTAAGAGAAACTAATTTTAAAATCTAACAACACACCGTGGACAACAATCATTAAATTCAGAAAGTAGTGGAGATCACTAGGGGGGAGAAGATGAACATTACCACAATTAGACCAGCAATTCTATTTGCAAGAGTCTTCGGGGAATTGGTTCAAACACTTGGTGTGCATTCCAAAGACCTTTAGACCTAGGACCTGGGCAGTGCCTCTGCTCTTTCTACGACCTCAAGGCAATTAGCATTCCTCCTAAAATGAAATGACTTTATCCAATAGAAAAGAATAGAAATTGCCAAGTAGCACATATGACAATTTACTATCAAAGGTATTACTTGAAGACTTTTGTACGAGGCCAGAATATGTGCAAGAAATCTTGGGAAAAAAGATGAAGACTTAAAAGTTTAAATCAAATTCAACCATGAGATTAGATTCTAAAATACATACACTATAATCGTATGAATTCAAATTAAGTAGATGAAAATTTTAATCACACACCTAAATGATAATCAGATTCTAAAATACACATACCTCAACCCATAATTGTATCCCTCCAAAATTTTATGCATGAACCCTAGAGTGGAAAGAAATTCATGTGAATCCTGTGAATTGGAACACCATGGGCTGAAAAGGTACCATAGATTGAAGCTATGGAGTCACTGTAGATGATGCGTTGATTTTCCGGTAGCGAGAAAAGGAAACTGAGAGAAAGAACCAGAAATAGGGCGCTGATTTAGGAACGACTAATGAGAGAGGTGAGAGAGATACGGTTGAGATGTAAAAATCCAAATATATCCCTGAGTAGATTCTGAAAGAATATTGACATGAGATCAGATCTAACGGTGTATAATTTATTCTTATTTCTTTCATTAGATCGTTTTCTCACCGGAACCAAACTCTATATATATATATATATATATATATATATATATATTTGTGTGTGTGTGTGTGTGAAAAAAATACATGCAATATGTTATTTGTCTCTTTGGTATACATATAAAACACCTTGGTTCGACATTGGGGACCAATGTCATGGGATGACCCGGGGGCGCTCCGGTGTCCCGTTCGTAAAATTGACGGTTCCTACCCCTCTTACCCCATATAAAATTGTCATTAATTTCTCAGCAATGTTAATTTGGAAGGATTTGCTAGGTGTACCTTAGGTGTACTCCACGTTCTCACAGACACGTGTTGATATATGGTACATCCGGATATACCTAGAAATAGGTACATCCCGGTAGTAAATAAAGTAGTACTGATTCTCGTACAAATATAAACATTCATTTCGAAATACGTAGTACTCATTCTGGCAAAGGTAGTACTCATTTTAAAATAAAGCACTCATTTTTACACATTTGTCTAATATAATTATAATAAATAGAGTAGTGTTCATTCTTAAAAAAACCAATACTCATTCTCAAATAAAGAAATGTTCATTCTGAAATAAAGTATTGTTCAATTTTTTTTCACAATTAAAAAGTTCAGTACCATCATCAACTTCTTCCTTTATTCGATTCGTTCTTACTCATTTATACTCATGGAGCATGGAGAATTTAAAACCCATGTTTATTCATATTTGTATTGAATAAGAATATGATAATTCTCATAAGTGCTGGTACTCCTCAAATCTGCTGGTACTCATTGTCATATATAATAGTTCTCATATATATGTTTTGGGCATTAGATAAAAAGTTTGCAAAATTTACAAAAATATCAGGCTGTACCTGAAGAAAGATACAATTGGATGTACCATATAATTTGCCCACAGACACATGCTTTTAATACTTTAAATATTTTTTATATTAATGCACCATGAATTCTTGTTGGTGCATTGGTCCTCCATTTTCACGCGAGTATTTGTGATCAATTTGTAATCAAGAAACTTTGGTATATGAAAATATGGAGTTTTAAATTCTAAAAACGTTAGTGTTGATTATTCAATCTCTGAATATTTGTGTAAAATATTAATTTTGATAGCATTGCCATGAATTTCTCATAATGATACTCCTTCCGTTCCAAATTAATTTTCATTATTTTCGCATTGAACTGTTATAAATTAATCCTTATATTTGATTTTCCAAAAAATACTTTGTAGCTTACCTTTTATCTTTCTCTTCAACATCTCTTCCATATTTTTATTTTTCTTATACTTCGTACAAAGTCAAAGCAGGAGCATTAATTTGGGATAAAGGAAGTAATAACAACAACAACAACAGCAACAACAATAATAATAATAATAATAATACGGAGTAATAATAATAATAATAATAATAATAATAATAATATGTATTATTATTATTTATAATAATAATCATAGCTTGTTTTATATTGATGATAATGATGATGATGACATAAATAGTAGTTTTAAGTAAAAGAAAAATTAAAATATACAGAATATGGTGGCTACTAAAGCACATTTTGGGGGAAATCCACACAATCAATGGGGGCATATTTGTACATGCACTATGTATGTGGTGGTCATATTTTCGTGTGTATATATATATATTCAATTAAGGAGGGCATAGGAAATTCTTGACGGCGTTATTGAATCGGGAGGCATCCTCCAGCTGGGGAATATGTGAAGTGTTTTTAATAATCTCCAACCTCGCCTTCTTCCCTAAAATGCCCTTAAGTTGTGTGGCCTTCTCTACTAGGAACAAATGGTCGTGTTCTCCCCATATAAGCAACACTTCCTGTTGCAGAGGGACAACTTTGGGGCAGTTGTCCTTCCCAAGGGTCAATCCGTGTAGCAGTTCCTGCTTCTCCCTCCTGTTTCCAACGTACAATTTCTGCACACAACATTCAATCAATTATTGATGATGATGATGATATATGATTTTGGCGTTGTTTGGATACATATCGTTTTCATCAACGTTTTTTGATTTTAAAAAGTCGGTAGGTATTGCCCAATTAGCAAAGGCAAGGAGTGTTAAGGGTGTAAGACCCGAGTTCGATTTCAATGTAACTATGCTAAGCATAGGATTTGTACAGGTACCAGGTGCAGGCTCCATTCTTTGCCACTAATCTGCGAATAAAGTCTAATTTACCTCCTCTCAGCGACCGTCCAGCCGAGTCTGAGGGGCCTGGGGATGGGGATTATCCCTTTTTTTTGGAAAAAAATTTAATGATGAAGACTAATTTTGAAACCGCTAAAACTAAACGTTGTCGTTAGATAATATTTTCAAAACACTTAGACATACATATGATGATGTTGATGCCAAAGAAGCCCTTAAATGAAGCAATTCAAAAGAGTATGATCGTACATGACCCAGCTAGGGGAATGTCAATAATCTTTTCTTTAAAAAGCAAGTGAATTTTTTATAAAACATTAAAACGGATGAAAAATAGGTTGTTTTTTTTTTGCCGGACGAAGTGTTTATATGATTAGAATCTCTTTAATTGAAGCAAAAAGTTGCGAGTCATGTTTATTATTGTAAAAAAGTAGTAAATAAAATGAAAAGTACACCGTAGTTTCCAATTAATTGTGTAGTGGAGGAAAAAGGGAGAGGAAGGTTAAGGGGAGTGGGGAGATGGCTAAAACCAATAAATTTCCCCTGTTTTGGAGGGAGGAAATAACAAATAGCAATAAATAGATATATAAATAAAGTCATCATTTTAAATTTGTAGGGAGTAAATTTGTTTTATAAAGAAAACCAATGATTGATTGTTTAGACTTTATAAGTATAGCATTAAAAAATAGAAGTATAAAAAAATTGTTTGACCACATTTATGACATTTCCCTTCATAATTTAATCAATTTATTTAATTTTCAAAAATAAATTTTGTAAAACATGTTAATAAATTAAATAAGAGTAAAACATAGAGAAAATATCAAAATAATAGTTTCATGTTTTCATATCCAAAATAAAAGTTTGCACTTTGATCATGTGATATTGTATATGAACATTTCATAATACTTTTTTGTATTACTCCGTATATATTAGCATAATTGGGATCGTATATGCATTTTTACTCTTACTTTGAGAACAAAAACATGTAAATCATCTTTTTGTATATTTTCTACTCCCTCCGTCCCAGAAAGAATGCCACGTTTACTATTCTGGCCTCTCAATAACTTTTGTTTGTTTACTCGTTTTGGTTGACCATTTGATAAAATTAAATATTCTTGACGCATCTTGTTTTGTAGAGCTTTTCATATATTTTTAAATGGTGTAATTTTTACTTTTTATTACTCTACCAATTTGAAATTAAAGTAATTTTAAAAGAGATGATATTTTGCACGTTGTTCAAAGTGTTGCAAATAAATTAGGACGGAGGGAGTATGTTTTACTCCTACTTTAATCTATTTTTCCCAAAAATATTTTTAAACAAAATTTCCAAAACCCGACACCACGACTAATTATCACATAAATAAATACGCCGCCCAGTAGGGGTGTATACGAATCGAATCGAAGCAAATATATCACTATTCGATTCGTATTCGATTAAAGTGATATCTATTCGAATTCGGATTCGTATATAATTCGAATTTTAAAAAACATTCGTATTCGATTCGATAGATATTTGACGTATTTGAATTCGTATTCGAATATTCGAATTCGAAAATATTAGTATTGTTTTCTTAAAACAAATTTCTTAAAAACATTAAATTATTATTTTATAATAATGTAAAATGTAGTAAAAAAATGTAGTAAAGATATGTTAGAATATATATAAATTTATTTATAAATTATAATATTCGAATATATATAAATTTATATGTACACAAAAATTTAATATATTAAAATATGTACACAAATATTTAATATATTAGAATATATATAAATTTATTTATAAATTATAATATTCGATTAATTCGAATAATAAACAAATCGAATCTATTAATATTTGTATTCGAATTCGAAAATAATTCGAATCTAAAATATGATTTGTATTTGGATTCGAATTTGAATATAGCGAATACGAATCATTCTTTTCGAATACGAATCACGAATCGAATATATTTTATTTGATTTGTATGCACCCCTACCGCCCAAGACGTAAGTCACCTGGTCGAGAGAATAGTGGCCTTTTAACTTGGATCTGAATTTTGACAACGGTGAAAAAGAACGAACATGCTAAACATGAGGTGCTCCCATGCCCTCGCAATATCAAGGACAAATTTTACTAATATTTTTTTTTAAATCATACCAGAAATTAAATTTTCAGTTATGATATTTAAATTATTAAAAAAAGTCAAATTGAAAGTATAATTTAATTTAACTCATTTAATTTAACTCATTATCAGACTCGTCCCTTACACACCCCGCACCGGGTTGAGTATAACCTTTTTGCATAATTGAAAGTGAAATCATAATTCTTTGTAATCATTTTTTTATTGTAAAAAAAAAATTACAATAGTCAAATTTTGACTCGTTCCTTACACACCCACAAATTAATTTTGATTTTAGAGCCAAATTTTAACTCCAAATTCAAAATTAACTTGTGAGATGCAATTGAAGGGGTGTGTTCGGGTCGGGGCGGGTGGGAGGATTTACCGGGAAGTTAAAGGTGACAAATATGACACTGGAGCGCCCTCGGGTCATCGTCATAGTGTTCCAATGGCCATTGAAACCCCACCGTTAACTCATTACCCGACCTTTTTTTTAAAGTATAACCTTTTTTTAGCATCCTCAATAAATACTCCATACGAAATAATGAACCCAAATGCATTGAAGAGGACGGTGACACGTATAGGTGAGAAAAAGGGACACTTACCCGTATGAAATCATTGAAGAGGAAATCGGGCAAGTAATTAGGAGGCCGGCGGAAGGTGGACAGAGACATTAACTTCCTCAGCTGCTCCGCCGTGGACGGCAGCAGCACCTCCTCAATCCGGTCCACGTTTGCCCTCTTCAGCAGCCCCTCATTGTCCTGCTTCTTCAAGTTCACGGCGGAGCTTGCGATCACCACCTTCTCCACCCTCTCCGGCCACATCCTCGCCATGTGGTACGCCACGAACCCGCCGTAGCTCGTCCCCACCACCGAATACTTTTCCACTCCTAATTTCTCCATCAATTTCCCCACACATTTCGCCTGATGATACATTTTTAAAATTCACATCATTAATCAGTTTGAACCGTCTAACCATCTTAAGTGAACCAAAAACTTAAACTAATGATTTAATCTCAAGATGCATGGAATAACTATCGTTTTTGACTGAAATTATTTTTAATTTATTTTTATTTGTAAATTTGTGACAAATTTTAAAATAAAATTATTTACTCATATTCAAGAACAGCAATAAAACTTTTACACAAAATAGAATGTGATACAGACTACAGAGCGCAGCGCGGTTCAAATGACATTGAGCCCAATGCCCCCCCCCTCTCCTCCCTCATTTCGCGGACACAGTAGTCAATCGGAAAATTGGGAACTATCAATTTTACCTACAGAGTCTCGTCGGGTCATACTATGACATTCAAATCAAATATCACGAATCTTGCCGAATAACTATATTATTTTATCAAATAAGTAGTAAAAGTAGACAAAGAAACAAGCTTAAGCTAATAATATTACTACAGAGACAATTGAAAATCAAATTTGTGAACTCCAAATCAATGAAATTTCATGTTAGTCAAGTAGTTCAAGTGTTGAACTAAATATTGAACTAATCAGCTATACTAAAGTTTTTTTTTTTTACTCTAAGATCAATTGCATATGAATGTCCTCACTGGAATTGATTTAGATCAAACAGATCGAAATGCAGCTTAAGGAATAATTAAACAAATCGCAGAATGAAACTAATTGAGTAATTGACAGTAGATTGCAGCAGCCATATATACCTGGAAAACTTCGGAACGATCGGAGGATTTGGTAACGGATCGGCCGAAGAAGACCAGGCTGGGGACGAAGACGCGGAAATCGGAGGCGAAGAAGGAGATTTGGGGGCGCCATTGCCAGACGCCGTGAGGGCCGAAGCCGTGGATGAGGAGCAGCGCCGGCTTGGGAGGAGACGACGATGAATTGTCGGGGATCGGGCCCCAGAAGTGGAGGGTGGTTTCCTCGTCGAGGTCCACCGATTGAGGGGCGAGGCCGGCGGCGGAGAGGCTTCGCCGGAGGAATCTGCCGTACAGGGAGACGGGGCTCAGCCAGGCGGGCAACATGGCGACGGTATGGTGAAGTGATTGAGAGAGAGGGGTTAGTTTATACGGAGTACTTTATAGAGTTCAGAGTCCAGAAAATTATAAAGCAATAAGATCTCTTCCACCCCACATGATTGGTCTATACTTCGTGTATCTACCCCCGTCTTTATATTGGTCCATGCTAGTGGTTAGGTCACCCAACCCTCACACACATGGGTCATTATAAAAAGGATCATTCTACACTTACACCAAAAATTATATCATATTTATACATCATAGTTATACACAAATGTTTTGATGGTTTACACTGATACAAGTGTTGATGCGTTAAAAAAAATTTACACGGACACAAAGTGTTGGTGTGTTAACAAAAATTAATTTTACACCACACAAAATGTCGGTGCAAACCTGCGGTGTACAAAATGGGGTACAAAAGTTTGGGGTACAAATAACTTTATCCTTATAAAAAAGGTGGAACATCCCACATTCCGGCCCGATAAGATTGTGAAAGGGTAATTAATATTATAATCTTAATCTGATCTTTAGAGAGGTCGTCACATGCTCGGTATGTACAAGAAGCTATTATAAATAATACAACTTCCACAATGCCGCTGCCGGGATTCGACTCTAAGAATAACGTGCTTGACATTCTCTCCTTAGACTAGTTGAGCTACCCAAACGGGCAAATGATTCATTATAAGAGAATGCTTCTATGGTGCACCTTGAGTTAACAACTAATTAAGGCATAGAAAGAACTCCAAAATTGACTATACTGCCATCCAACTATGTTATTAATGACTTTTCAAAATCTCAATTGAATACTTACAGACTTTTAAAATCCAAAAAAAATCTTACAAACTCTTGATTGAATGCACCTTCTAAATCAACAAATCAAACATCCAAACTAGCTAGCCTTCTAACTAATATAATAAAAAAATTAACATGAAATTTGATGGAGGATATAATTAATGTTGTGCTGGTTCACCCATTGATCTCTATATATGGACTTTGCCAGTTTCTAGCCATCCAAATATTAGCAGCAATATGATGGCATGGGTAGCCAAAAGCGAGAGTTTCCACTTCCATGGTTACATCCTTAAAAGCTTGGCCTTCATCTCCTCAATGGATTTAGCTTCTAAAGAACACAATTGGGTTTTATGGAGTGTTTAGTATTAATACTTCCGATTTTTTTAAGAACTAACTTTTACAATTTTTTTTTTTAAAAAATTAGTTTATAAAATAAAAGGTTTAACATTCTTTTCTATAAAATAAAAAAATGTGGGTCATATTTAGAGTTGTTTTCTTCAGTTTATTCTTCTAGTTACTTTTATTCGAATCAGATCAAATTAAAAACAATTTTAAATATAAGTTATATAGAGTAAAAATATATGAATTGAGAAAGTACAAAATGATACGGAGTATAAAATGATTGTCATTGAATTTCTTTCAATGGTGGATATTTAAATAATTGAAACAAAAGTATACGGAGTAACTGTTCCACTCAAAAGTACTCCAAAACAAAAAGTAAACGTCGCCTGAGAGATTCGAACTCTCGCGGGGAAACCCCATGTACTTAGCAGGCACACGCCTTAACCACTCGGCCAAAGCGACTATTGGTGACAGCCATCGATTTTTGTAGGAATTGTACATTAGAGATCCTTGATTCTCCTTATTGCTTAGCTTAGAAGTTAGAAGTCTGGAGCAGAGCAAAAGCTCCATGATACGTACTGGGTCGGGCTTCAACAACAATCCGGGAGAAGTCTCTGAAAGTAACGTGGAGAGGGACAGCAATGGCGACGGTGCAGGCGGTGATGGGGAACCTGACGATGGCGGAGCGGGGAGTTCTGACGGCGGTGAATACCGGCGGGTCGAGCCTGTCGTTGTTGGGGTCCGGATTCATAGTCCTCTGCTATTTGCTCTTCAAGGAGCTCCGAAAGTTCTCCTTCAAGCTCGTCTTCTTCCTCGCCCTCTCTGTACTCCTCCAATTACTTTCTCTCCTTCAATGTCCTCTATATCTTCTCTATTCTCGTTATTGTTGTTCATTTTCTAGGGTTTTGCATTTCATATTCTCCCCATATGGGGTAAAGAGAAATCGAAATTGCCCAAATAAAATTGAACTTGATGAGAGTGCTTAAAGCAGTGGGCTTGAAGATCCTCTTTTTAATTAGTTGAATATGCCAGATTTCAGTTCCACTACTGAAATTGTGTCCTGGTGGTAAATTATCTGAGAAATTGGGATACTGAGATGTTAGAATTAATATGCAGCTTCCAATTTTTTGTTTGGATTGGTTTGGTTTAAGCTTTCTCGTATTGGCCTTTCACTGCTTCTAACTTTGGAACACCAGCTCCCCATATGTATGTTGGGTTATTGTTGAATGTGCTCATCTTGTTTAAAAATACTCATGAAATTGTAAATTCTTTTGGCATGTAATACACTTCATGATTTTCTATGTTTGGTTTGTTTGAGGAGTGGAATCATATGTAGAATCTGAATCATAAATGCAAAAAGTCCGTCCATGATATTTTCTGTACATGGTAAAAATTAGAGTAAGAAATGTTTATTATTGAGCAGTGGTAGAAACAGTGCTAGTATTTTAATGCATTAGCTTGAGCTCTTTTCATAGTGTCTATGGTTTTCATATTTTGTCATTTCGAGTATTCTCTTTATTACAACACATGCTTCTCTTGGGTATTGACCAAATAACAAACGTCATAACTTCTATTGCAGGATATGTGCTGCAGTTTCTTCAGCATTATTGGGTAAGAGCGGGTGTTGTGGGGACTACTATGCTTGGATTTCGGTATTTTCTTCTTCATTGTGCATTGTTGGTTACGAATTGATGTTTGGTTTGTTCTCAATATGCAGGGATCCTTCCAAAGGGTTCTTTTGTTATGCACAGGGTTACACAACACATTTCTTCTGTGTAGCCTCTTTTCTTTGGACTACTACAATTGCTTTTACCCTTCACCGAACTGTTGTTAGACATAAAACTGATGTTGAAGATTTGGAGCCTATGTTTCATTTATATGTTTGGGGTACTAATTTTTCTTTTCTCAAACATTTATTTTTTACTATCATTATAAGCTGTGTTATCGTATGAAGAAGCTTTCTTTCTCTGTGAATATAATTAAATGTTAGGAGGTGTTCGTTTTCAGGAAATCTCACATCACCTCAGTAAATATGAGATCACCTTGTTTAGTTTACGTTTTCATACTACCAGGAAAATCTGAGATTACCCCACGTAGGTGAATGAGATAATGTTGTGGGGTAATGTGATTACCTTTATCTTTAGATACTATAAAATTGCCTTCGGTAATGTGAATCCAACATTGTACTTGGCATTTAATTTTAAGGAATGTACTTTGCAATTTAACAAAAAAGTAATACCTAATGCCACATTCCGTGAACCAAACAGTTTAGGTTAATCTCATATTCCTGCAATATCTTATCCTTTCCTGGAGGTAATCCTTTTACCTAACATTTTCTGATTGTCTGTGATCCTAATGCCCCTTAGTTGATTCTGCATGTTATGTTATTTTTACCATGCAATGTTCTCTTATATGATACCTTCATAACTATTTTTCATTTATTGAACTACTTGCAGGAACTTCAATTGTCATGACAGTTATTCGCTCTATTGGCAATGACCATAGGCATATAACTCGCCTAGGCACCTTGTGTTGGGCACAAACAGGGCGTGCAGGAAAGGCAAGTCTTTAGTAGTGTATCTTTTCCTCTTTTTTTTTTTAAAAAATAAATTCTCCACAATGCACCACAGAAAACTGCAAGAGGAAAAACGAATTCCCCATGTGGCGTGGGTCAATGCTTCCTTCTTATGTAAAGTGTAGAAATTAAGTTGTTTTATACTCCGTATAATGTTTTTCTGTTCTAAAAGATTAAGTCATTTTCCACTAATGTCTATGAAACCAACTAAAATATTTTCCATGTGCCAAATACAATGGAACCTTACATGAATCATGATATTACATTCCAAGTTGTGTGATGTATTTGTTTCAATTGCAGGTAGTTCACTTTGTTACTTTTTATGCACCTCTCTGGGCTGCAATTCTCTTTAATGGAATCACATACTTTCAAGTAATACGGATGCTTAACAATGCAACTCGTGTATGTTTCAATGTTTTTCTCCAATCTCTTGATTTATCATATGAATGTCCGAAATGGAATTGGTCACTATACTGATTTACTTATGTTCCTCAGATGGCAGCCGGCATGTCAGATGCTCGGCCAGATATGAAGGTATTTTATGTTTTACAACCTCTTTAGTCGAAGGGAGAATATTGTATCTTCTACTCCGTACTTAAGTTTGGTCTTTATACAATCTATTCCATTATCATTCCAAACATTGTACTCCCTAGTAGTTATTCCTAATGGTCTAATTTCCACAAATCAAACATTGGAATTTATGATCTTTATTTATTCCCCCTACATTATTTTCGCAACGGATAAATACTCGCTTCATCCCAAATAAACAGAGTTCTACATGAAAACATATTTTCGTCCGAAAATAGTTTTATTTGAGGAAAATAAGATAATTTTCATTATATGAATGTTTTTTATTTTGAACAAAAGTGCCACAAACGTGTTGAATTTAGTTAAACCTACAAAAAATTATATAGCTAGAATAGATGATTTTAATAGCGATAGACTTGTCATTTACTAAAATTTAAAGGGTGTATGAAAGTAGTACTTTCTTCTATATTCCCTCCATGCCAAACGTGTGATTAATGTTTATTGTTTGTTCCTGTGAATGACTATTGACCAGATTTTGCCTTCACTCCTTGCCCTTGCGTTTACAGGCGATGAATCGATGGGGGTACTATCCACTTATCCTTATAGGTTCGTGGTTTTTCGGTACAATAAATCGCATTCACGATTTTATTGAGCCAGACCACAAAATATTTTGGCTCTCAGTACTTGACGTTGGCATGGCTGCACTAATGGTTAGTATGTATCTCATCCAGATGCTTTTGGCATCTTGTGAATACTTTGTTTATCCAGTCAGGATACATCATAAATTCATAATCATCTTAATTTTGTAATTTAGAAATCTGTACTTTTAGTTCCTGAGGTACACAATCAGTTCGCTTTTAGTCCTCAAAATACTGACTTGTCCATTTTCAGCCCCTCTCCCAAAGTG